TAAACTGTAAGACACATACGATTGTTGTAATCCCTGTCCTCGATCGGTATAATATTGTCTTTCCTCTCGTCCATACTTTCCAAAATTGGTGAACCACTCAAATCACTCATAAAAATTAAATGATTATTGTTTGAAATGACAAAACTATTTTATAATGCCTAGTTATATGACTATAATTTATTGACACCACTGCCTGTAATAATAAATAATCTGAAAGTTTGCTTAAAACGCAGAAATTATTTGTTGTAATGAACGCCCTATTAAATTGTGTTTTGCTGTATGTTTGCACACATTTTGTAATACAATTACAGGCATTGTATTAGTCATTGAAACTACAGTTACTATAGCTCTTGAGATACGGAATATTATATAATTTATTTACAGAAATACATGTAACTAGTAAAATGTTTTTGTTTCTATTTATAGCAAGATTTCGTATGTTTTATTAAAAATTATCTAGCTACTAATAAATGTAATATCAGTACTGATTAAGAATGCAATAAACTCATGTTATTTCTTATATTAATTTAGTATAAATTTGTGTCAATATTTTAATGTTATTCATGTAATAATATAAATTACCAAATAGACATCATAAGGATTAATGATTTCTAATGTTAATTGAAATATTATTTTATATCATATGAAGTAAAAAAAATAATATTCAATTTCAAGTGTAATGTCAAACTATTGTGTAATTAAGGATGCAATAATTAGTTTCTAAGTCCTATGTTGGGTGCAAAAATGATTTGCAAAATTGTAATGGGTAAAAACAGTGATTCCTAATATTTTGTACCTTGAATCAACTACATTGGGTGTCACCTATACACCAGTTCCGTCTTGTTCCTTATAAATTATAAGTTATAATGTATATTTGATATACAGATTGATATAAATTGTATTAATTTTCAATAAATAACTTATATGGGTAATATAAATTATCTGTGGTTACTATAATCGCACAAAAATGATTAGCACATTAGCAAAAGATTTAATAATATACATAATTTTATTGTTAATGTTTAATTCGGTACAAATATAAACCTGTTCAGTTCATGTGTACTAATAACAAAAATAACAATGTGTATTGATGAAACTTTATGAAAATTAACTTAGATTAATAAAGGCAGAATTAAATACAATAAGTTATTAATTAACTAACCTAAACCTGATACATATTTAATAATCTTATAAATACTTTATATTATATTTCTAAGCATGGTCATGAATTGGAAACGTATTAAAATAGAAATAAAAGCAAATAAATTAGGAATCAGTCGAGATTAATATAATATACAATATGTTATTAATGATAATTAATTATTATATAAAATTGCAATAATTTTAATTATAAAGCGTTGCTATTAGTGCTGACTCCCCTGTTACTTTTACAAAATTTAATTTTTGTTAGTAATATTTGTTTATAGATAAACGAAGCAATGAAATACAAGACTTATATCATAAATCATATTAACAACATTATCAAGTATTCAAACATTGAAAACTTTTAAATTCAGAAATGGGATGTTTTATAATTAATAATTTAAAACATCCGTTTGTGTAAAATTAAAATTCTTAATCACTAGACAAATAGCAGTATTATTTAAAACACCAAATACTCCCTTTTCATTATTACTACATTAACATCAATATCTTATCTTATATTTTTTAAATATTTATTTTTTAAGTTTTACTCAAAAAATGAATTTTACAATTATTTCAAACTTATTTCTACTTATTTTAGTGCTTATTGTAAGCGTTAACTCAAAAGTAAAGTTACAGAAATTAAAGCCAATTCAATCCAATAGACTCTTACCTCACAATATGAATAGGAATACGACTTTTAATAATATAAAAACTGTTAGTAAAAATGAACTGGATAACTCATTAGCACCGGTGTTGGACACAAATATACAAGTTTTTGACACCAATGCCCTGAGACGTGAAGATCTTAGACTTCTTATCGGCACTAAAGATGTCATCAAAAGTGATGAATTGCTACAAGACTTGGATGAGGAATCGTCGGGTAAAATAATATTACATTTATTTATAACTTCATTTGTACACTGTTTACATTTTCTAAGTTTAGCAAAACTTACATGTTAACCGTGTAAACATTTATTTTGTCAGAATTTTTTTAATAAAAATTTATATACCAATTTCTTAATAAATAATCTACTACAATAGTATATTTTTAGCACAACCTTTGGAAAGTGTTAGCATTTACATGTTAACCGTGTAAACATTTATTTTGTCAGAATTTTTTTAATAAAAATTTATATACCAATTTCTTAATAAATAATCTACTACAATAGTATATTTTTAGCACAACCTTTGGAAAGTGTTAGCAATGTAAATAAAGTTTATTTAATATTGATAGTTTGTTTTAAAAAAATAAAATATTTCTATTTCAGGAGATTATGAACCGATAGTGAAACCAAAAGCGAGAGATTTCAATGAGAAACGAGTTGTGAATATAAAACCAGCAGGGTTTCAATGGGATCATATTAGTGAAAGTATATTGATATTACTTAACTTTATTACAAATTGAAATTTTAAGTATAATTTATAAATTACAAGTTATAAGCTATAATTTATATTTTATAGGGGATTGGGTTCACTATAAGTTTGAGAAGTCATACCTACTCATCAATAGCACGGTTACTAAACACGAGGCCGAGGAGTTGTGCCATACCTTCAATGGGAAGCACAGGGATGAGGAGATAACATTAGCCGTTCCCATATCATCGGGTGAACAGCAGTTTATCAATAGATACCTGTTTGACATCAAACACGTGTCAAAGGATGTATGGATCGGACAAAACCCATACAACTATAATAAACACAACAAGAAAAGCGCTGGTAGTCCGAGATACCAGCCCTACGAGAACTGGGCTAAGGGTAGGCCGTCGTTGACAAAGCCGTGCGTTCAGATCAGGTCGCCGTTCAACGTGTTTGGAGATCTGGACCGAAGTGTAGGCGCTAAATGGGAGGACGTGTCGTGTTTTAGGCGTAATCTGGTTTTGTGTGAAAGACCGCAACATTGGACTCAACAGAGATTTATTAGAGTGGCTCAGGAGTTGCAAAGGGAACTGGATGTTATTAAGAATAGGAA